GCTCCCGCTGGGCCCGGGCCGCGATGGCCGCGATGGCCCCGAGCCGGGCCCGCAGCGCCTGCGCCTTGGCCCTGCGGGCCTGCTCCGTGCGGCAGAGCGGAGCGTAGGTCCCGTCCTTCAGGGCCTGCAGGTGCTTCTGGCGAGTCTGGTAGGCCACGAGCTCCAGGAGGGCCTGGGAAAAGCAGCAAGAGAAACGGCTCTGAGAGCAGCACCCGGGGAAGAGCCGAGGGCCAGGCCCGAGCGGGGCGTCAGGCGCCGTAAGCGTCCCGCTCCGCAGCGAAAGGGCTGCTCGAGGGCAGGGCTACGGAGTCCCCGCCGTCCCGGCCAAACCCGCGGAGGTGCAGCCCTCGAGCGGGAAACCTTTGGGTGGGGAAAGGCCTTTAAGTTTATCAAGGCCAACTGTAAACCCGACACTGCCAAGTCCACCACCAAACCCTGGCCCTAAGCACCACACCTGCACGTCAACTCAGGGAAAGATAAACTGTTGGATCATAGAATCACAGACTGGTTCAGGTTGGAAGGGACCTTCAAGCCCACCCAGTCCCACGCCCTGCCCCGGGCGGGGACACCTTCCACTAGCCCAGGTTGCCCTGAGCCCCGTCCAACCTGCCCTTGATGGCACAGAATGCCATAAACCAGAGAAACACCTGCACGTACAAAGCCAACGCTTGCCAGGACAGTTTCACCAACTTAAAAACGTCACAGGAGGTCACTCGGGACCCTGAGCTGGCTCTCACATTTGCACCATACCTGTGAGTGGCCCGCTAGCGCTCACGGAGGGTGGCTGCTACTAGATTATTTTCCAAACACCAAGTCCTTCAGGCTGGTGTTTCCAGGCAATGCTGCCTCCCTAAGGGTGCAACTGCAGCATCGGTGCAGGACCGCTACGAGCCCTCAGAATGTGCTCAGTTACCTTAAAGCGTGGCTAAAGTGACACCAACACGCCCGGCTCAGGCTGGCGGCGAGCCAGAGCCGGGGGGGCTGGGGGAGGCGAGCAGCAGGCTCTGCGGGGCTCCTGCTGCAGGGACGCGGCGACGCTCACCCACTGCTTCTCCTCCCGCAGCCGCTCCGCGTCCGCGTCGAGGCCGTGGGACTCGGCCTGCAGCCTGAGCAGCTCCTGCTGCTTTGCCGAGAAGGCGGCGCTCAGGGACGCCTGGGAGCTCTCCAGCTCCAGGAGGGTTTTGTTGCAGCCTTCAGTGGTCTAGAAAACAGAAGAGAAGGAAATGGCAGATGCTGGTTCTGAAGTCCAGCTGCGTTCCCAGCCATCTTCCCAGAATTCTGTCTTTTTTTGTGGTTGTTTGGGTTTTTTTTTAACGTGTTTCCAAGGCCTGCGCAGCGCTGTCCCTGTGCGGGCGCAGGGTCTGGGTGCTGACCCCCCAGGGTCTGTGCTGGGGGCGCACGGGTGCTCACTCCCAGGCAAGCACAGAGCCCCTGCAGCGCTGCCTCTTGCTCACCTTCTGCGTTTCCCTGATCTTCTTTCTCAGCTCCTCTCTCTCGCGGTGGAAGTCCCTCTTGGTGATCCGTTTCTTATCTGTTTTGTTCTGACCCTCCCCACGAACCGCTATCGCCTCTCTACGAGAAACAGATGCCTCCATATCACGAATCATCTTCTCCTGCTGCTTCATCAGCTGGCCATAGCGGACCTGCCATTTGCCGAGATACAAAACAGGCTGAAAATAATTAATGTTTACGAACGGCACCTAACTGAAGTCATCTGTGTGGCACATCCCATCAACATAAACCAGATACATGTGACACGTGAGTGTTGGCAAGCCAAATTTGCTCTAAATCAAAACCTGGTTTGCCCTGTGTTGGATCTGGAAGGCAGAGGGCTGGATTATCAACTTGTCTAAAGTAATCTTCGAGATGTTTCACTGGAACTCATTAGCAATAGCAAAAGCAGAAGCATCCTGAGAATGAAAGGGAAGAGCTGCTTTGCCAGAAGACTTCCCTAACCAGTGATTAAGATAATGGGAGATTTAGTAATCATTTCTTTGCTCGTAAATCGGGGTCACAGAAGAAGGTGGCAGACACGTTGCATTTCAGACCCATTTCTGAGGTGTATCCAGTTCCTGTTACGTGCCATGTGCCAGGGACACACGAAGCACACCCAGGTGGATGGATTTAATTCAATCCAGCTGCAGGGTGGTAAAATTTCCAGTACTGCTATAGCTGTGAGGATGCTGCTTCTCCAGCCTGTTTCTCATCTCCTGACTTATGTTTCAGCAGCTCCAAAGCTGAACACGCTGTGTGCAGCTTCTCTTTGGCAGCGGCTCACCTGCATCCTATGAATCTCTGTCCTCATGGCTTGGACCTCGCCTCGTCCTGTCTCGGAATCCACCGCTGCACGCATCTCTCTTGCCAGTTGGATCTTCTTCTCCCACAGCATGATTTGATGCCTGACAGAAAGGGGAAGCAGAGCATCAGTGGCAGCGCGCTCCCGAGATGGATTCTGAGTGCAGAGCTGCAGCCGAGGCGCCGCGTGCGGGACAGGAAAGCGCAGCAACAGAGCGGCGTGAAGTCACCGAGTCACAGAACCAGGCGGGAAGCACTGCAAGTCAGGAAGTGGCGTGGGGACTGCAAAACCAGCCTGGCACGGGCTGGCAGAGCCCAAGGAGCTACCCAGTGCAGCACACTTGCTCTGGTTTACCCGCAGAGGATGTGGCATGAGGAGTCTGCCCCCAGGGATCATGGCAACATCCGGCACAAACAAGCTGGAATTGTTAAAGCCAACATCCTCTCAGCTCTTCCTGGTTGGAGGCAGCTAAAGCACCTTTCAGTTTCTGTGTTCCAAAAATCCGTTCAGTGCCTTTTACCTTCTCCAAGGACAGAAGCACTTTTGCTGGTGCTGGTTCGGTTTGATGACTGAAGGAAGGTAACAAGGACACAGGTATGAAAGTTCAAAGACTGTGGCACAAAGCAAGAATCTCTCTAGTACCTACTCTGCTTCCAGCAGGCAGTTCAGGAGTCTGTCCTTCTCCTCACTCAACTGACTGTGCCTCTCTTGCATCTCAACTGATTCTCTTTCTGCTGCCTAGATTTGGGAAGCATGAACCAATACAACATTGTCAGACCGAGAAAGATTTCCAGGATCCCCGTTTGCCTCCGATCTGCACAGGAGGTTGAGACCTGGAAATGAGACGTCAAGCCTCTGTACCTTGAGAGAGCGCACAAACTCGTTCTCTGTGATCATGTTGCCGTGCCGCAGCTCCTCGAAGCTGCTGTTGTTCTTGTTGATCAACACATTTAACTTTATCAAGTCATTCGACATGTTCTTCATGTGATGCTCGATGTCCTTCTGTTCTTTTGTTTCCTGCTGAATTTTATCTACAGGCAAATAGAAAAAAAGTCTTGAAATTCCCACAAGCACTGGGTTGAACACAGGCAAGGTGTGACAAACTGCAGAGCCACCTGCATCCCTCACACCCAGTCAAAACATTTTCCCACGAGTCCAGAAATCAAATAAAGTTTAGAAGGAGATTACTGTGGAAGAGAGTTGGTTTTGGCCACAGCAAATGCTATCATTAGTGGGGACATTTACCTACCAACTGCTCGCAAACTTTATTTAAGAAGTGTAACATGTGACGTGGTCACTTGGGGTTCGACTGTGCCAGTCAGGACAGCAGGATCAACCCTTCCAGGCAACGACGAGGTGCAGAAGAGCCGCGGGTGCCTGGCGCTCAGCCCCAGGGTGCAGCACCGGGGCCGTTCCGTTACTGCTCACACACCCCAGGGGCAGCGAGCGCAGCCCTCGGGGAAGGTCTGGCATCACCCCCGTAAGCCCTCGCTCCCTTTTCCCTCCATGCACAGATGAATATTTTAAGACAGCATTAGGGAATGACTTACTTTCAGTGCGCACTTTCTTCTGCTGCATTACTGTGACCTGCTTCTTTAACATATCCAGGGAGGCTCGCTGTTCCTCCCGTGCGTGCGTTAGCTTGACCAGCTCTTTCTGCTGATTCAGCCAGTATTTCTGCAGTGTCATCACCTCAGAATTACACTCTTCTACCTCCCTGGTTAACTTGTTGATCTCAATTTCCAGTGGTCCCAATTCTTGCCCCTGTACGAGGGCAAAGGGTGGGACAAATCAGGCAGAAGCTGCTGGAGCTTGTTTCCAGCATCACTGCAGGTGCCAGTCCCACTGCTGAGACACCCACCACACACCGCAGCTGTACCGTGACTCTGTCAGTCACTTTCTGCCTCCATTTCCCGGGAGCTGGATGGGCCTAATCCCCCCTGACCTCACCGGAATAAATGCAACAGAAGCCCGAAAGGTTCTGGGACTCTGTGCCCAAAGGGCCTCCTTAGCTCTTACACCAGCACGGCCGACACCGAGGGGGCTGCAGCGAGTGCTCCTCCCCGTGTCTGTCACGGCCCGAGGGCTCGCGGCCGAGGGACGGGGCTGGGGGGCACCTGAAGGGCCCCACCACCCTGTGACTGCAGCGGCTCTGCCTGCTCCATCCTCCCCTCGACAACCTTGGCCGATTTTATAATGAGATCCTATTTACTCCCTGAGTACTGGTGTCATTCAACATTTTCACTGGGTGCAGACAACTCCCTGCAGAAATCTGTGCTGGGCACACCCTCGTTTCACAATCCCTAATGCCAGCTCCTCTTCCCAGCTCCTCTTCTCACGGATTAAGAACTGTTTGACAAACGTAAACAATTCCACTAACTAGCACAGCTTTTAAATCACAGTGCTGATGCCTGCAAGTTTTAACTATCCAACACTTATGCAGTTGAGTTCATCAAGGGCATCCGTGGTCCCAAGAATAAACTCTAATTTGGGATTGAAATGTAAACGTACATACCCCCTGCTGAGAAAGAATGGCCTCCAACCTCTTGTTGTACTGGCTGATGACCCGCCGCTTGCTCTCAGTCAGGAGACTGCACTTTGCAATCTCGCTTTCACTGTGGCTGATCAGATCACGGACATTTTTGATTTCCTTGTCCAGCTCACAAAGTGTTTTTTGGAGGATTGTCAGCCTGCAGCTGGTATGAGCCGCAGTCAGAAGAACCTGGGCCGTATCATTCTCAGCCTTGGAAAAATGCAGCTCCTGGGGTTATCAACAGACAGAAAGCAAATCTCTGTCACCAGCAGCCACTCACTTTATTTGTAATGCCCGCTTATCAAAGCACAGGAGTCAGGGGATCCAGAGCTTCCTCCCAGGTCTGTACTACAAGCCACAAGCAAGCTACTTCCCCTCTCCGTACTGTTGTATCTCCCCCTCTTGGCAGCAGGCAGCAATATTTGCCGCAAGGCAATATCTGCCATAAGGCTGTGAAAAGCATTAAGGAGACTGAATGTCCCCAAACCCTTTCAGAGACCACACTCCTCACTTGTGAGTGACCTTCCCGCCCGGGTGTCTCTAGTTACCTGCTGGCAGTACTAGAACATTACTACACGGCTCCACCACACCTGGCAAACGCAGCCCTCACCCAGCAACCACCCCCCCAGAGCCCGCGGCCCTGCCCGTTGCTCGGGAGCAGCAGGAGCGCAGGCAGGTGCCTGCCGGGAGCCAGGAGCCCGCCTGCTGGCCCTGCACGCCCCCCCTGCCCCACGGGAGGTCACCCCACGCCCCCCCAGGGCCCTGCTCCCCACGTGCAGTGGCCTGTGCAACACGGATGCTAACGGGAGCCAGTGCAGAGGCTCCGTTTGTTTGTGTACCTGTGGGAAAGGGGCTGGAGGGGCCCTTCTCACAACGAGAGCCAACCCTGGCAGCCTTCCAGTTGCTTAAGATGTGCCCTCGATTTAAAAAGGCCAGGGGCAGGCTGAGGTAACCCGTGGAAATAGAGAGGTGTGTGTGCGGGGAGTGAGTGCCAGCCCACACAACCCGGCCTGACACAGACTACGCCGAATCTTCCAGTTTCTCTACTGTACCAGTCACACACTCCCAGAGAGAGTGACTTGTCCTGCCATGAGGAACTGTGGGTCTGGTCCGAGTGTTCCTCGGACTGTAATCCTTTCTGAGAAGCTAAGAGCACACCTGCATCTCATTCCGCCACGCACTATCAAGAGTTATTTTACCGAGGAGTATGGAAGTACCACATAGCCACTGTCTTCCCGCGATACATGAGAACTCAAACCCCTTTATAGTAAATACTGACAGGATTCATCATTGTCCCCATTTCTGAAGGCCACAAAGAACAGTGTGTTATGTGTCGGGACTTTTTGGCCACGCTCTTGCCTACACCAGAATCCTGCAGTAAGATCACTGGGAGAACTAAACTGAGGTCGCAAACCCAGCAGAGCTTCCATTACAGACCTGAAAACCAGAACGAAGACACCGACAAAACACACTTGAGCGACACTGCTCGAGGCAGTTTCCTTCCCCTGCCCTCCCGAATGGAGGAGATACCATACCAGATCTGTTTTCCTCCTACGGAGTTTTGCAGCCAGCTGTGAGAAGTGCTTTGTGGCTTTGCTGGACACCATCTGGTCCTGAACCTTTGCCATGATTTCATTCTCCAGCTGCGCGTTGGCATCCGTTCCCTTCTCTATATCCTCACTGATGGACAGCAACTCATTCAGACGAGCAGCTTGATCCTGTAAGGTAAGGAAGACAGACAGGATCACTGCAGCTGTTAGGAGAAGGGGATTACATACCCGTGTACAATTCAGAAGGGTTCTTTGTCCATGTGACTCTTCTCACCATCTTGGTCCTGCTGAGGGCCTGCTCCGTCTCATGGAGGACACGAGTGTAGGTGCCAGATTCAGCCTTCAAGGCCTCCTGCTGCGAAAGGCACCGGGCGAGCAGCTTCTTTGTTGTGTTGGCGTCGTTCTCGGAACGGCTCAGGACGGTGACAAGCAGCTCATTCTTCTCCTCCTCCTTCCTGATCGACTTTCTACAGCCGTGGATGTCCATTGCTAGCGACTTGAGGTCATGTCTGTACTTGCTGGAGAGGCAGAGAGGATGGAAACTCACAGGGATTGATTCATGCGCTGAACGGTCAGCTACAAATTCCTCTTTTCAAACGGCCTATTGCAGCAACAACTGCCCAGGAAGGAAGATCTTTATAAAGCCTGGTCTGCTGTGACAGCCCAGAGTCAGCAGAAGATGGATGGAGACATTAACATTTAAAAGGAAATGTATGTAGGAAAAGTAATTCCTCCTTTCAGTCCAGTCCCCACCCCCCCATTCTTACCAGGATGCCACCATATAAAAGCATGTTGTTTGTTCTCAGGGAATCAGTCAAGCTTTAAGACTCCAGACCAAACAAACACTTCCTTTGGCAACAATAGGAAGGTTTTCCTGAAGATTCCTAAAGGCATCACAAAGCCCTAACCGAAAGGGATAGAAAAAATCCTTCCTGACATCTGGCTCTTCGGATTGAGAGATGCTGCAAAGGTGAAGGAACTCTTTTAAAGGAATAAAGTAGGAACGCAAAAACTCTAAGCAGCTCTAAAAACCCCACGTTTCAAGGGAGAGTTGTGTTTTGGATAAAGAAAATGGTAACAAAGGACTGTGCTTCTTATCCTTTAGCTTTATTATGTGCTGTAGAGCAGCAAACTTGTTCTGCCTGACATGTCCTGCACATACAGTAATAAACTCGACAGAAGACATAGTGCCCCTTTCAGAATCCTTCCTGCCCAACTTATCTGAGGTCTCTCCCGGGGCTGTTTTCAGACACCGTACCTCAGCAGTTCTTGTGCAGCAATATAGGCCTCATCTCTCTGCTTCATTCCAGCCAAGCTGCTGTTCCAGTGGTTCATCAGTCGCTTCTTCTCCATGTTAATAGCCTGCACCTCTGCACAAGCCTAGGGAGGGGAGAGCTGGTGGGTAGCGTGAAGCTAGACCGTGCCGAAAACACAAATTCAGGTCACAATGCAGGGCATTTTATGTTCAACTAACACGTGTCCACTTTATTGCCACACTAGACCACAGAACACAGGTCTGCAAAAAAAGAAAAAGCTGAGAAGTGAGGGGGAGGAAGTGGTTTACAGGCAATTCTTAAGGACAGAGGGAAAAAAAAAAAAGAACGAAAACAGAAGTCTTCATTCCTCCAAAGAGGAATGAACCATACAGCTCTAGCCTAGCCTGTGCAAACCGCATGAGCAGGAGCCAAAAGGGGTCAGTCCTTCCAGAGGGAAATATTAACCAGAGGCAAAAAAGGCACCCTCCTACCTCATTTACTGCTTGCCGAGTTACTTTTGTGTCCTCTGCCTGGGCCACAAGCTGGGCTTCAAACAGAGCGACTTGTTCTTGTAGTTCGTGGACTTTTCTCGTTAAGCGGTCTAGTAAAAGATCCTAAAGAGTCAGAGCCAAACAGCTCGGGGTGAGTAACACAATCTCAGTCTTAACCAAGTAGATTCTACAAGAATAACATAAACTAGAAAAGGAATTAAATCGGCAACTGGGTTCGAGTTGATTCCTGCCGAAACTTTTCCATTCATATACAAACGATTCACGAATGCAGCAGGGACAACTTTCAAGAGAGTGAGACCTCCTCTGCTAATTTTTTATCATCCCTTTTGCAGTAGTAAATTGATACTTGGGATCTGAAGCAGCATTCATGCCTGTCAGCGCGGAGTGTATTGTGTCACCTCTCCAGCAGTTAGCAATTTATGTTTTAAAAATCCTTTGTTAAAAACCCTCTAAACCCATTTGGTTTCAACCCTCTGCATGCAATCCTGCACTAATAATCCTCCGTTCGCGTCCTGCTGCCAGCTGAAGGCAGCAGAGGGAGCTCCAGCACACCGGGCTCCGGCCCTTCGCAAAGTTGGCTTTTCGTTGTGAAACTCATTGTGACTCAGAACAATTCTCGAGGTTTGAACATCTGATACTTCTTCGCCAAATATCTTTCTGCCCCCACACCCCTTTGCTTGAGTGAAGAGTGATTTACTGTTACAAGGCTTGTCAAAAACCTCTGGGCAGTACATGCCACTATCTTGGTGGTGGGGATTCTTTGTGTTTCAAGAAAAGCCTGTGGGTTTTTTTTTCCCAATTATTTGTCACATCTTCCACAACCCAGACACCATAGCCCTCCTTCTGACAAGGCAGCACGTCTGCCAAGACGCACCACTAACTGACATTATTTATTTTAAAGACGACAGTTTTACTTGATACCTGCTTTTTCTTTTCCACCTCAGCGTGGACCTTCTCTGCCTCAGCCTTCTTTGTCGACTGTTTCATTAGTAAAATATTATGATGCATATCCTCGTCCATATTCTGCATGTAGAAGAGATGCAAGGCCAGGTTTTCAGCCTGAGTCTGCATTGCAGAAACTGGGGAGGCAGGAGGAAAAATATTTAAGAAAAGTACATTTGTCGGACACATTTTAAACAGAGATAAAAGGGAAAGGAATACAGAAGCACCCAAAGCAAAAACCGCACAGGTACCAGATGAATCAGCCCTCCCTGAAATAAGAATTTACATCAGCTTTGGCGTGTAGGTCCACAAGCAAAGCTAAAAATCTTGGTAAGCAATTCCTTGATTCTCAGCACAGAATCCCAGGAAACCAAAGAAGGGCCCTCAGGAGGCTGCGAATCCACTCCTCTGCCCCAAAACACACCTGCCTCTTTCTCAGCCTGTTGAATGCTTCTCAGTTTTTTTCAGGGACCTGCAAAAACTTTCTAGGCCAATTATTTTAATGCTCAGCTCTCCTTGTTTTACTGTTTCCCATCCAAATGCTTGCAGCGCAATCGGAAGGAGTCAGGTCCGTGTCTTTGCCTGGAATGGGCACTGCTCCCATACCCCTGGACGCCCCCAGTGACCCACAGCCCTTGCTGTCTCGTCACACCCTTGCAGAGACGCCGGCAAACGTAACAGAGTGACGGGAATTCTCCTTCTTCTAAGTCACACAACAACCCACCTGCCAGGAACAGTTTTAGTCCTAAAGACCTTCTTAGAAGTACAACATAGCAATATGGTCTTAGAAACAACAGGAATTATATGGCAATCGTGAATATCAGTGAGGTTTTTCCATGAGTGCACTACTCCTGATTATTTTTACTGTTTTTTTCAACCCAGTGCTTGACTTACATTCAGATTAACTTCTCCACATAGCACTAGAGTTAGGAAATACGGCAAGGACTGCCTCAGTCACCTTTCTTGCGTTCCTCATCCGTGTTGTGACACATTTTCTTGTGAGTCAGCCTGAGGCCCTCCAGTTCCTCCTCCAGCTGCTGGCGGGCTGCGGCCGCCTGCGAGCGGCGCTCGTGGCTCTTCTCCAGCTCCAGCTGCAGACGCGCCAGCTGCTGCTGTGCCCCGTAAAGAATCACCCCAAGCTCTTCTCTCTGTACTCTGCCCTTCCTCGCTGCCGTCCTCTGCAAACACAAGAGGAAATCAGCTCTCTCACTTCAGCTTGGACAGGGACGGGCTGCCGGGGGAAGGCACTGGCCGTCTACCAGTTCCTGAAGTTCCAGGTTCACTTTTTCCATCTGCTTGGTAAGGTAATTCCTCAGGGCAGCCTGGAATCTTTTCATCAGAGGCTGTAAAGAAGTGTGACATTGATAAACTTTAACATACTTGTGTAAATAAACAATGAAGAAACCTTCCTGCTACTCCCACTGTTAAATAAAACATTTTCGGCCAGAGACACATTCTTATTTTAGCTAAACTCACAGTAGCAAGCAACAAGGCATTATATAACGGGTATTTGTTGACATCAGGAAGCGACTACTGAGAATGTTTGAAAGTCAGAAACGTCTCAGAAGAGCTACAGCTGAGCACCCATCTACTGACTCTGGCGGTAAGTACGTCTCTTTCGGGAGTACTGAAGAGTCTCAGATTCACCCACTGCATTGCTCACCTCCAAACCCGCAACTTTGGGCTTAATATTGAGGGAGCAGACACGTTCAGGAGTTAGTACTTTTGCAAAAGCCATTTTTAAACGTGTAGTTTTAGCATACAACTAAGCCACCGCGGACCATTTGCCTCACACGTTTTACACGAATCAAGATATCAAGTCTGCAGAGGAGAAGGGCAAGATCTGAGGGCTCCTCACGTGTTCTGGATCCAAGACAACCAGTTCTGTTTCTTCACTTCTTCTGCTTGTTTCCTGTTCCTCAGCTCCATGCTGCTGGCACTCCTCCTCACCAGTGAGCTGACCAAATTGCCCAGCGGCAGACTCTGAATAGAGAGAAATGGGTTCTCAATGTTACCAGGACCCCGAAAAAAGATAAAGGCTTAGATTTCCTAGTGTTATGCCTCCAGCTGGATTAACAACAAACAGAAAGGGAGAAAAGTAGAAACTGTGCTTGTGCAGCCTGGAGAAGGCTCCGGGGAGACCTTAGAGCTGCCTCCCAGCACTGAAAGGGGCTACAGGAAAGTGGGGAGGGACTCTTGATCAGGGAGGGGGGGGGATAAGACGAGGGGTGATGGTTTTAAACTGACAGAGGGGAGATTGAGACGAGATCTAAGGCAGAAATTCTCCCCTGTGCGGGGGGTGAGGCCCTGGCACAGGCTGCCCCCTCCCTGGAAGGGCTCAAGGCCAGGTTGGACGGGGCTTTGGGCAACCTGGGCCAGGGGAAGGTGGCCCTGCCCGGGGCAGGGGGTGGCACTGGGTGGGCTGTAAGGTCCCTCCCAACCCAAACCAGTCTGGGATTCTGTGACTGACAGATGGTATCGAGTTGTGCACTGTTAACAAGGAGCTGAACGATACCTGACTCTGCGCAGCTGCTCAACTCCACTGCCGCTGCCCCTGGAGGAGCTCCCGGGGGGAGGGAGGGGCTTCCTCTGTCTGTTAGGGGCTGCTCCATGTCACCCAGTCCGGGAGGACAACTGTCTAATTCCACTTTGTCCAAGAAAGTCTCAGGAGATTTTCCCTGAAACATAAAATCCATCACCTGAAACAGTTTTTCAACCTAACTCGATTTGCCCCTAAAAATCTGCTTATTTTTGTCATCATGAGACACAATCAATGCAGACAAAGAATCGAGAAGACCTTCTAAAACCCGCGTGCAGATATACTGGCAAAGCTGTGTCACTCCCAATTAAAAAAAAAAAACAACTTTACACACATAGAAGAGAGCAAAGGAACCTCTCCTGTTTTGTCAGAGCTTTTGCATAAGTTGTGCTTGAGCAATTAGCTTCTCTCTGTTCCAATTCTGATTGGCTTCGTGTTTGCAGCAATAAAACTGCACCAAGAGAATGTAACGTTACAAATACTGGTCACACGTTCTGTGGATAAGATTAGATAAATTATTGCAGTGTCTCACTTCTGCAGAACCAACAGACAGCTCCGTAGCTCCGTAGCCGCCGCTTTCTGCTGGGGGAAACGTCTCTTTTTGGTCCTCCAGATGAACAGACTCTTCCTCCTCACTGCCGTTCCCGCTCTCTGCCTCTATCATCTAGCACACAGCACAGGCAAACGGCACAACAGCAGCACTGCAACAGGGTCTGTACTTTATTTAATGTTAATGCTCCAGGATCGTAACACCTGCTTTTCGTCACGGGGCCCAGAAGTTTAATGTAGAAGTTTAACCTCATTCACAAAAACGGTCACCCAGCTAGCATGAAGAGAGTAAAGATCCTGACAAAAATTCTACCCACCACTTTTAACTTCAGGTGCCTTTTGAGCTCACATCTATTTTTTAAAAAAATGCCCTTAGGGATTTATTAAAGAAACTCTTCCAGCTTGCACTACCTATGGCCAAATAATTCTTTCTTTTTAAACAGACAGTGTTTTATCCCATATCATCACTTGCCAAATTCAAGTATTGTGCAGCACCAACAGAAGAAAACTTAACACCAACAAACCTCAAAAAAAGCCCAAGTACGTGTGTCTGTGAAACGTGGATAACTTCCTTTTTAAAGCGTCGACAGCAGAAATGCGTTGTCTGAGAACTGAGAAACACACACTTCGGGATGCTGCTGACACACAGGACTAACTAAATTTACTTTTTAGTGGCTTTTTTTTTTTTTTTCCCCAGGGCAAGACTGCAATAATTGCTCGCTGTGTTTTACTTCTTCCAATTGAAACCGCCCCCATGAAGACGTCGCTCTGTAGGGAACGGGTGGGAACACGCTGCCCTGGGAACAGTTCAAAGGCAATCACCTCCACAGGAAGATGCGGTGGAACTCTGCTCACACCCTGTTCACCGGAGCCCGATTCCAGCCCAGAGCCCTCCGCTGCGGCACCGCGGGCCTCCTCCATGGCGCTGCCCCGTGCCTGCAACCAGAGCGTCCCGCGGGACAGAGGGTGAGCACCAGCCCCGCCGCGGGGCTGGGCACAGAAACACCGGCACCGGGGGCACCGGGGGCACCGGGGGCACCGGGGGCACCGGGGACACCGGGCCGGGGA